TCTATGTGCCTTTGCACGTGAAACAATATCACAATATGAAGGAGCTGCAGGCCTGCTGGGACTTGGCTTGTCTAAATCTGGTGCATGTAGATCAAGGAGCTGCAGGCCTACTGGGACTTGGCTTGTCTAAATCTGGTGCACGTAGATCAAGGAGCTGCAGGTCTACTGGGACTTGGCTTGTCTACACCTGGTGCATGTAGATGAAGGAGCTGCAGGTCTACTGGGACTTAGCTTGTCTACACCTGGTGCATGTAGATCAAGGAGCTGCAGGCCTACTGGGACTTGGCTTGTCTACACCTGGTGCATGTAGATCAAGGAGCTGCAGGCCTACTGGGACTTGGCTTGCCTACACCTGGTGCATGTAGATCAAGGAGCTGCAGGCCTACTGGGACTTAGCTTGTCTACACCTGGTGCATGTAGATCAAGGAGCTGCAGGTCTACTGGGACTTGGCTTGTCTACACCTGGTGCATGTAGATCAAGGAGCTGCAGGTCTACTGGGACTTAGCTTGTCTACACCTGGTGCATGTAGATCAAGGAGCTGCAGGCCTACTGGGACTTGGCTTGTCTACACCTGGTGCATGTAGATCAAGAAGCTGTAGGCCTGCTGGGGCTTGGCTTGTCTACACCTGGTGCATGTAGATCAAGGAGCTGCAGGCCTACTGGGACTTGGCTTGTCTACACCTGGTGCACGTAGATCAAGGAGCTGCAGGCCTCCTGGGACTTGGCTTGTCTACACCTGGTGCATGTAGATCAAGGAGCTGCAGGCCTACTGGGACTTGGCTTGTCTACACCTGGTGCATGTAGATCAAGGAGCTGCAGGCCTACTGGGACTTGGCTTGTCTACACCTGGTGCATGTAGATCAAGGAGCTGCAGGTCTACTGGGACTTGGCTTGCCTACACCTGGTGCATGTAGATCAAGGAGCTGCAGGTCTACTGGGACTTGGCTTGTCTACACCTGGTGCATGTAGATCAAGGAGCTGCAGGCCTACTGGGACTTGGCTTGCCTACACCTGGTGCATGTAGATCAAGGAGCTGCAGGTCTACTGGGACTTGGCTTGTCTACACCTGGTGAATGTAGATCAAGGAGCTGCATGGCCTACTGGGACTTGGCTTGTCTACACCTGGTGCACGTAGATCAAGGAGCTGCAGGCCTTCTGGGACTTGGCTTGCCTACACCTGGTGCATGTAGATCAAGGAGCTGCAATCCGCGTAGTGGATTCTTACAAAAGTTTGCACATCGTTTTTTCGATTCATACCTAAATGAACCGAAAACCGAACACAGTCAATGCTTATTATTAAATTCGACAACGTGAAACATATTTTATCTACAATAGTTTAACCAAAAACAATTGTATATATCAAAACAGACTAACATGACGAGATTGATAAACATTCCAGGTGTTGGAATACATACTGTGGCGTGACATGAATCAGGTGATTGTTTAATTTATGCACATAACTTGACAGGCCTACACAGTCAGTAGCCAATCAACGGAGAATATGATCAAAACAATGTTCATAGGACCCGTCAATTAAGGCAAGAGGCGAAAAGAAATGCAAAAGTCAGACTGTAAGATATATGGCCGGGAGAAGGCGGCTGTTTGAAAGAACATGCCTAGTTAGCGCCAGATTCAAACATTACTTCCCTGATTACGGTAAAACACATTTAGAAAAATGGTAGTTAGAAATGAAACCCAAAGACATGAAAGTTGAAACAAGGCGAGCGGGAAAAAAACAGGCGAGTGAGCCTGTACGCTTGCTGTTTCACTCATTCTCGGCCGTCGGTTTCAAAGGGTTGTTTGGACAACGAATATGCATGAATGTCGCTAAATGTCCTGTGCATGACGATACACGTGAGCAGAAAAAGAATTCCCTCGGCTGTAATATTGGGATTCCCCGACATCCCGCAATAATAAAATTAGTGCGCCTCGGTGGGCGTGGCTTAATTTTTTATATTCATTGGAAAATGAATGCAAGAACACGTGACGAATTCAGCAAATGAGAATGCAGGCATTTCAATGAACACACATGAAAATTTAATTATTAAATATTGACTCCATGATTTTGCATATGTGAGACGTTAATGAGTCAGGCTCATCAGAGTGCATCCCTTGTTTTAGGACTGCAACCATAATAGCTGGTTTCCAGGATTGAGAGATGGTGTCCGAAATCCTGATTTGGTTTGTCTATGCTTGTTGAGGCTCTGTTTTGGCATTGTATAACTGTTTGAAGTTCATGTATGATTTGTGTTCGGTTGTATGTTAAGTGGGCTTGTGCTGGTTTGGGTGGGTGGTTTGGTTGGTTTTAGATTTTGTTTCGAAATTCCAGATGGTGATTGGTGAAGCTATTAATTTCAACCTGTTAATTAGTATCAAGTAAGCTTGTTTAAGTTAATAATCCGTTTATAATCAGCTTGTTAAAGTTTTAAATCCTAAATGTATATCTGCCTTTATTATCAGTGTACTACATGTTATTTCTATTTTTCTTTTCTTTTTTTTTTTTTCTTTTTTCTTTTTTTAAAAATATATTTTTTTTACACAACCAATTTGTAAGGATTTAGCTCCACGCTTAGTTAATAAATATTACAAATATCTGCCCGTTTTCACCATGTGTAAACTTTGATGGACACCTGTAGCGAACTTAAACTTGCTGACCTGCTGTCTGCTGTATAGGTAACCTATACCTAAAGGGGCCGTCACACCATGACGTTCTGGTCAACGTTCTCTGAACATTTCAATCGTTCAATTTTTGAGCGTTCAAGAATGAGGATGACACATCTGGCGTGTGATTAACGTGTGCCTAATGCATGACTAGCGTGTGTCTAACGCACGAGAAGCGTGTAACAGCGACCAAGTAAGATACCCCTGAAAACCATTAGCGTGTGCTAACGTGCCACTGGCGCGCGACGAACGATTTGTCAACGTTAGACGAGCGTGTTGAGCGTGTGACTAACGTGTGAATAACGACAGAATAGCGTCTTGCTGGCGTGTTTGACTTTGGTCACACGCTGCGTGCGCTAGGGGACCGTTCAGCGGTCGTTGACAGGTCGCCAGTGAGTCGTTCAATGCAAAGCAAACGATTAGTAACAACCAAGTAACGACTGACTAACGATAGCCGAACGCGTGCAACGCTCGGCGAACGTTAGTAAAACGTTCCACGAACGTTCTTAAACGTTCTTCAGCGTTTAAAATTAAACGTTGAAGAACGCTGGTCTCAGTGAGAACTTTTGTGCATGTTCAAAACCTTTTTCCGGACCAGCGTTCTCCGACGATTCCCGGCGATCACCGACGTTCACTAGCGTTCACACAACGCTCTTCTGGCGCTATCCCAGCGACCATGGGCGACTACCAACGTTTCCTCAAACGTCATAGAACGCTGACCAGAACGTCATGGTGTGACGGCCCCATTAACAAGTATGCTACAAGACGTGCTACTCAATGTATAACTCTGTAATGTTATATACTGAATTGGATAAAATATATTTAAAATGTTATTTCTTATAGTACATCTGGCTTATATTATATTTATTTACCGCTCATTACTTGGTTGTAGTCACTCCTTCTCAATAACGGTGTAAGAAACTACATTAAAAAGTCGCTACATGTAATACACCAGAACTTTTATCCATAAAGTTTTACGTTTTCTATTGTCAAATGGTTTTCATGGGAGTAGAGCAGGTTCAGGCGTGAAACATGACCTATGAAGTAATAGGTCGACACGACTATTTTGATCTGAGCGTCGTACCTAGTTTCGTGTTTTAAATAAATTTTAGACTAATTGATAAAAAAACATAAGACTTTCAGGGAAGCATTTTCACGACATGGACCTGGTACAGTACGGGGTGGTGCGGTGCCCCTATTTATAATACTACTCTAAACATGGAGAGGGTGATGTCATCCCTGAACATTTTATTGAATCTGGAGAGGGTGATATCGCCTGGGAACAGTAATATCATCTCTTAACAGTCTTCTGGAGCAGCCACAACATGTTCACATTTCATTAGTTTTGTCAAATAATTATCATGTTATCCACTCAAACTGAGAGAGCCTAAATCACACGATTCCTTTCAGTCGTTTGTGTTACTATTTGCATAATTGCATAATGATACTTGTATTGCACTTTCAGCAAAGCGCAATATTTGCAAGTGTCTGGAAATAGGATCTATTAAAAACATACTAAGATGCCCTTGATTTGTATGTGCTAAGCGACAGATTTGAAGGCGAATGAAACTTTCGGCGCAAACACGCTCCCGTCGCTTGTAACAAAGGCCTATTGTCACAGATTGAATAGCGCAGATAAGAGGATTTATTTAAGCATTGTTATCGTTCACCAAACTTTCTACATGCTATCTACTAATCTTGAATGTTTATCTTGTTTTTCATTAATGTAGAGAAATACGGCTTTCTAATGTCAAATGAAAAATTGTATTTCAACGTTGCCCCAACCCTCCATGACGTGCTATGCCGCCTTCGCGGATAAATGTTTGAACCTGCTCATACTATTACTGTGAGAATGTTTCTGGCAGCAGGCACTCCGCAAAGAGGGTTTTCAGTTTCTTAAACATATTTTGCCAGACTCTTCATTGAACACAATCCTCTCAACCTTAACTACAATGTCACACATTTCTCTTCCTGTGAAACCAACAAGATCGTAATATTTGGGTTTTAATTACTAGCATTAATTTTCATGTTGGCATTTAATACTGATCTGTGTCCCTCATGTTGTAAGAAATGTTGGCCATGTTGGGTAGCCTTAAAAAACTATAAACACATGCATTTCCCTGATTGCAATATTTTCTCTCACACAACTCTTCACTGCATTCTTCACAACAATATATTATTATGTATTGGGCTAGACTCGATACACAAGGTGCATGTTCCTTAAATGTATATAGAACACTTCACCAGTACAGTATCTTGAAACATATTACAGGTGTCTGCCTATGAAGTGTAACGTTACATGGACATATGTATCTAATCTGTGTTTCCTTGTGAGCAGACTATCTTGGAAAGATCAGCCTCAGTGACGGCTTCTTAAATATCAATGGCAAGCTAGTGTGCAACGAAGGATTTTCTTTGCACGATGCTGCTGTTGTGTGTCGGCAATTAGGTAAACCCACGTGAGTATCGTACTGTGTGCTTGCTAAAGTTCAGCCTAGTATAACTATTGTTGTGTGTTAAATAGTTTTAGAATTAAGATTGACACTCTCGCACTTTTTTATTTGCAAAAATTCAGGATTGTTGTATTTTCTTTGCAAATGCTGACACCATCAAGATAACAGCTTAAACTATGGGCAAAAAGTTACAAATCAATTTATACTGCTTTATTCAATTCCAATTACCGATCACATTTAAAACTATTCCATGATCACCAACAACAACTTTTCCTGCTGTCACACGCGAAACAAAATTAATGCCTGCCGACTTCGTCACTCTCGTGTGTTTCAGTGCCCATGTTTACATCATCTATAATGAGAAGGTGAAGGCGAATGAGACCCTGAGATCCCTCAGGGGACATGGGTGCAGAGGAAACGAGACAAGACTGCAACAATGCTACGTTGGCATCAAAGCTGGATGCAGACAGAAAGTACCTATTTCTATCACCTGTAAAAAAGGTACACTTCTAAAATTCCACTTCATACCAATGTCTACCTTTTAGATTAACTTACTTTTGTACATTTATGTCCAGCTGCTGTGATATATGATACTCTACCAATAGCTTCTTGATTAATTGTTATCCCTTAACTGGCTCCACAATTTTCTGTTCAGATTTTGATATGACCCCGAATTAGTTCTATATGATTACGATCTTTAGCGCTCTCTTTCCACATGAAGCTGTTACACAGATACACGAGGGGCCACGGTTGGCCCAGTCATCTGAGGGGTCGCGATGTCCTGTGCAGAGTTGCGTCCCTTGGTTACGCCAGAAACCTATGATTGGGGGTTCGAATCCCGGTTCACCCCGATTATGTTTCTAGGTTTGTCAGCACCATACCCGTGCTCTCGAGTGGTAAACGTCCAAGACCTGCATCCCTCTGGGCTTTCCTCCCACATTAAGCTGACACGCCGCGATATAACTGGAATAATGTTAAAAAAGCGGCGTTAAACCCAACTCACTTACTCACGGATACATGAATAAAAACACTCACTCACTCACTCGACTACCTCACCTCCACCACTTAGAACTATAATATGTATAGGTTTTCTCCACCAATCTGTAGTTACCTGTCTCTCGGTTAGGGTGCACGTGTGGCCCTAAAATCTGTATCTGTGCAAGGATTCACTGATCGTGGTGTAATTGCTATCATGTTTGGAGTCAGTACTTGTTTTTCTTTGTTTTAGAGCAGGCGAAAATGTGTCAAAACACGAATTTAACTCTGCTGCAAGGGAAAAGCATTCGTGTGTACAGTGGGACGAGGGTGACTGCAACGTGTTTAGCACGCGGCTTGTACATGCCCTCACAATACTGGTATAAATGGACCCTGTCAACTAATAATTCCATCGTGGGATCGTCACCTTCCATATCGCTCCAAATGAATAATACGTCCCCGGCCAATATGACGCTTACGTGTTCAGTGAATATCGGTCGTCAAGAATGCCACGTGAATAACTCTATTGACATACAGGTCTTCAGTATGTATTTCCAATTGTGTATTTCATAAATATATTATATGTAACTCTCATATTAACTGGATATCCATCGTACACGTAGATAACTTGGAAGTGAATATGAAACCTGTTTCCCTGTCTACTTTGAAGCATTTTCTCATTTATTCACTGTTAATCAATGTGCTCCAGTTTATTTTGGTATATATTCATAACTAGATCTGATTCACCACAACCTTCGAAAATGCATAAAAATAATAACCAAACGTTATAATTTCCATCACACATTAGCTTTCCTTGCACAACCTTTCGAAATTTGTGAAAGGGCTTTTAGGATGTCCTGATACTGAGAAGTATCAAGTATCACAGTATCAAGGCCTGAACCTTGCGTATTCAGGAGAATGAGTTTTCACCAAACAAAAGCTGTTCTTTAAACATACTTCAAAGTAAATATTCTAGTCGTCAGTAATGATACGAATTTATGGATGAACAACTTCTTTATTACAATTAAGAGCGGCGTTTCGGTGCCTATCAAAGAAGTTCTTCAAAGAAGACGTCAGACATTATTTTGCATATTTACAAAGTCCTACTGGTTGTATTCTTCCTTTTTTTCACTTCTTTCAGGTGACCCAAAACCATTGACAAAAGCCTTTAACTTGACAATTGGCCAAAGTCTAAATTTTAGCAAACTATACTCCTGTAATCCCAGTTGTAATTGTACCTGGAGAAAGATAGAAGGCGATAGAGAGCTCGGGCCCGAGGCTTGTGATGAAATGAAGATCCAGAACATATCGCAAAGTGGGTTGTACATCGTCACTTGCACAAACTACCTAAATGTAACGATTGGTAAACCTCGAAAAGGGGTTTCAGTCGACGTAATAAAAGTAAAAGTATCAGGTGAGTTCATTCATGTGATAGAAATATGTCAAACCTCAAAAGAAAGTGATTATGCCTCAAAACCTTTTGTAGTCCAGCACAGATGTTACTATATAGCTACCGCGGGACATCACCTATAAAGATACTGGCTGCACCGATGCTGATGTGGGTTAGCTCAAAATGATATCTAATCAGTTCACTTGGGATAATAGTATTCAATTAAGTGCTGAGAGCTTTTGTATACTTATGCTGTTGTTAAGTATACCCCATGTCCAGGTTGACATCTTTGTATTATGTATTTAGATTCCCGGAATGTCAGTGTGTCTAGTGTATCGCATATTAGTATGACTTGCGGCTATTGGAAGTTTAAATAGGCTCTCAGTTTGTCTAGCGTTTATTGGGTCTTGTGCCACACTATCAGTTTCTTGTGCAGTATCCCAATTAAACGCTCATTTTCCCTGTCTCTTTTGGTACGCCAATGTATAAGTATCTCAAATTATTCATTGCTTAAATTACTTGTAACGCTAACATCCCATCGAGTTTTAAAATTGTTTTTGAGAGGTATCAAAGCTATCAAGATATCATGTAAATGTTATGGTTCGTGGTTTATTAAGAGTCTTTTCTTAAATGTATCTTAGCTGTATTTTCAGTGGATTTCACTGGTGCAATGTCTGTATCGCATGACATAAGCCTTTGTATTTTGATATCAGTCAGAAACTCAGTGACGTATGATAAAATATATTGTTACGTCGAAACGCACAGATGACTGTGGAAACTCAATTAGGTAAACTATGTCCAGTATACTTTATTTTTATGTTATCATATGTTTTACATGCACAGTTGTAACTCATAAACAAACTGAGTAAAATATATATGCGTTATTTCCTCGATACTGAGGCACGTGTTTTCCTCAATGGATGTCCACCATCTTATTGTATATTTTTTTAGATAAACCAACAATGAAGTGTCCAGAGGAACAATATGTCATCTTAACATCACAACCATATAAGAAACATCACAACTTGTGCCATTTCAATGGCCAATGGGAAAACAAAACCTGCACTTGGGACGGTTCGCAGTCATGCGCAAATTGCAGTATCAAGATTGATGAACTCTACAACAGCGGTAACTATACATGTACAGCAGGCTACAAAGACCAGCCTATGTCCACCCTCAACATGACCACCCACAACATGACAGTTCATATCCTGTGTAAGATCCTTTGTTATTTTATTTTCGAAACACGATTTATGTTTTCTGCACAGTAATTTCATTAAGCCTTACACTCCACACATATATATTTTTCAGGGGTGTCGGATACTTGATAAGTGAATTAACTTTCTACCGCTTCTGATCTGGATCTCTGATCTTCGTAACAATATTACAGACCTCCTCTCTCCCTGTGATTTTCTTCTCCTGAATGCCTAACCCTTCTTAAAGCATTTAAAACTGGTTCCTGTCCGATTGTGCTCGCAATTGTCACTCGCAATGTTCGTCAGTAAGAAATGTGTTTCATGTAAATATAAAACGACAGAGAGTAACGACAGAGAGTAACCAGTCTCGTTTATATACCGAATAACTTTCCATTGGGCGTAAAAGGCAAAAGAGTGGTGAAAACCTGTATTAGGTTCACTGGAAGTCGGTTCGCGAAAAGAACGTCCAGCTCTGATTTTTTAAAATTGTGTAATGTTCGTGTATTTCACGAAAATAACAACAGCCCGGGTGTAAGGACATCCCTGTGCCTCGTTTTCGTTAAATGGGTTTAAGATTATATATGGCAAACACATGAAAACGGTGACATGAAATCATGTTATCTTTTATACTTTGGCAAATGACAATTTCACAGCGCACTTTCCTGTTGCAACTTTTGTGCTGGATACATACTGTATAATATTTGTTTGTTTTTCGTATTTCAAATTTCTGTTCCTTGTTTTTCTTTCTTTTTCTTTCTTCTAGTATCATTATTGAGATTGTAGTAAGAATGATAAGAGACTCTGGTGCTTTTTTGTACTCGGTCTGTTTGACTCTCTTAGAGTCATATTTGTGATATATTCTCAACTATGTTACATCTGATTGGTGACCTTTACAGTACATAGGTACATAGACTCTTACTTGACTGAACTGAATAAATGACCTTACATGTGTAACTATTGTGACACATGCATTTGAACTGCAAATATTGAAAATATTTCAATCATTCTCTTGTGATTTCAGCTGGAAACTCGACGGTTAGTGTGATGGAAGGATCGAGTATCAACCTAAACCTCCCCAAATGTTCTGATACTAACTTCGCTTTCAATAACTACACTTGGAAAATCCTCAAAGAAGACGGGGAGGTGGAGGGAAATTACTCGCAGCTGAACAGAGTTAACACGTCTGCTTACTACGTGGGTTTTTCGAGTGACAAGGCTTTGATGCGGCTTGAAGTTTTATGTATGTATAATCGATATCAATACAGTATAACATACTCACATCACGTATTGTTGTCTATCTACTTTTACAAACGTCATTGTCAACTCTTAATAAATCATAACAAATAACTACATTGCACTCTTTCCGTTCACCTTTAGCCTGAAGAGCTGAGGAGTTCAAATCTTTTATACCTATTCAATGAGATTACAGAAAAGCTCATGTCACTAAACTTCGAAGGATATATTTACAGATGGACCTAAGGTTACTTGCGACGAGAAAGTTTTTGTTCCACTCGGCACCAGAGCAAGCCTGAAGTGTTCAGTTAAAGCCAATCCCATTAGTTCTTACATCACCTGGAAACGAGGAAGTGAACTACTTCAAAACACATCATCCGAAACCTACGTCCTGAGTAAGACTGGAATGCTGGACAGTGGAAGCTATATCTGCACTGCCTACAACACAATGGTCGACTGCTACAATGAAACACACGAGGGCAACGATTCCTGCACAACAACTGTGGACGTGTATGGTAAGTCGGGATGCAGACGTTTTTATCTGGTGATGCGAATTGTAATGGTTTGGTTGTCACCTTTATCTTTTTGTCGGGTAAGCATAGACACACTATAGGATATCGTAATCATATGACACGAAGTAATACTTTTATATTTAGGATACATTTGTTGTCATTCTTATTCGAGGTAAAACACCACAAGAGCACTAAATGTTATGCACTAAATGTTATGCACTAAATGTTATGCACTAAATGTATATGCACTAAATGTTTTGCACTCAATGAACATAAAACAACGTTATAGTTTTTACATTTTATGCGTCATTTATATGCCTATCTTATTCCACTAGCATTCTACATAAATCGATTCAAAACGTAAGTTGATTCGTGTAGATTGCTGGTGGAATAAGATAGGCATGTATTTGATGAATAAAATGTCAAAACTATAACATTCAAAACTTCAAGACCCATGAAGATCCGTGGTAGAATAGGTATTCAGCAACCCATACTTGCCGTAAAAGGCGACTAACGGGATTGGGTGGTCAGGCTTGCTGACTTGGTTGTTGCATGTCATCGTATCCCAAATGCGTGGATTGATGCTCATGATGTCAATCACTGGATTGTCTATTCCAGACTTGATTATTTACATTGTAGACCGCCGACATAACGTTGTAATATTGCTGTGTGCGGCGTTTAACAACAAACAATTAAACAATGATAACTTCACCTTGCACAGCTCAACATGTTGGATTTTCTTTCTTCTCCATAATATGTTAACAAAAGCGTCCATTTGTCAAAATGTCTATATCCATATTGCGTGGATCGATGGTCATGATGTCAATCACTGTATTGTCTGGTCCAGACTCGATTATTTAGAGAGCGCTGTTATACAGCTGGAATATTGCTGAGTGCGGCGTTAAACAAACAAACTGACAAAATGTCTATATATGACATTTGTAGTGTCCAGATTAAGAAAATTCATTGAGCCTTTGTACTGTTTGCAGTTGAGGGGGACGAGCAAAAGGTTACAGTCGTTGCTAGCGTTTTGTCTCTTCTCTTGGTGTGCTTGATGGGTGTTGTTGGTGTCCTCAGTGGTCTACTCTACAGGGCTCGCAGAGGTACAGTATACACGAGGCTTACCGTGTTTATGAAAGATTTCTCACCAAACGAAACATTACTTTGTGGCAGATATTCCGCACACTGTATTTAGATGTATATCACTTTTAACGTACTTTTTTAGATCTTTAGTTAAAAATGTTTTTTTTTCGTATGCATCGTCATACATCGTCCGTCATCCATCGTAAACCTTTTCGTCTCCGATACCACAGCACTGATGGATTATAAGTTGCCATACATGTCCCCACCCATGACTTGCACATGTGTTGAAAATGCTTAATGAACAGCTGATTCTCCAATGATACCACGTGTGTAAAAGTAGACATGTTCCGGTTTGTGCAATATCTAAATTTTAACATTCAATGAGTGTTTGGTTACCTTTTCTAACATAATGTGAAAACCAATATCACCAAACCTATAGCTTAGACGGTGTATTCCAGGTTTTAATGAAAGGACACGTTTATTAGAAAAAAATGCTATGAGGTTGCTTTTGTTTTATATGTAAGCCAAAACGAAATTCTGAAACTTTTCTCAGTTCTCAGACTGTTTAATATAATGGTTATTTCTTTAATAAAAGGCATCACAACCGAAATTGTATCTTTTGTAAGCCAATCGTATGGCATTAGGAGGCATATATACTGAAAGCTGAGAGTTGATTATACACTTTTGCATATCAAGAAACATTCTTGAAATATGGATAATTGTATAGGATCTTTATTTGATTTTCAAATGTGGCAAACTTTGGTATGACGTGTATGGCACTTATGCTGTTAGCTACATCACTTTGCGACTAACAGTGCTGTGACAAAAGTTGGTGTATTGTTGTATCCTTCAATAAGTTCCTTGAAGTCTGTCCGTTATTATATCAGGGGTAAAACTGATCCAAAGATAGAGACCTATCCTTTTGTTGCAAGAACAGATTCAATCTACACGTAACATTTGTTTCTCGTTTCAGGAGAGCGGCGTAGAAACAATCCGACGTAAGCATGTTCAAAACCTTCTGTAGAACTTTCCTTTAATATGTATTCCTTTAATAATACAATTAATGTTTGTCACATTTCTTTATATGATTGCTTAAATGATGCGATGCCATGGGTCAGAGTATTCGAGTATAAATTCAAATATTTGATTTTATAAATGTAAGGAATCCCGATTTGGGGATGTGCGTTTACTTATATTTTTCTGCTAAAATTACCAAAGCATCTTAAATTATCTTGCTATTTTATCGCCATTTGACAACTAGATGATATGTTCTTTTGTTCAGGAAAATGCTCCCACTGCTCACGAAACCAGAATCAGGTACGTGGTGTTTTTATAAATGAACCAGAAGCATTTATATTTTGAGATATTTGTCATCAATCAAACGCGTTGTATTATTTGTAGAAGAAGTTTCCACTAAGTTTTATATTTTACATAATAACCAGATTCTTTCTAATATTATCTGGTGGTACTATTGCATGGTCTGCCAAAAGTCCATGATTTAGGTTGAATAACGATAATACGGTTTACCATTGCCAAAACGTGACTGCGATATATCCAAGAGTAATAATGTGTGATGCTTTTATTCTTTTTCAGTAAAAGATGGTCCAGCAGCTGACATCTACGAAAATGCCTGAGGACCAAATGGACAAATAAGAGCCTTTAAACCTACTGTATGTCTGACACATACATTGCCATAGAGTCTAAATAAGGGAGCAGGATGCTTCTTTGCGACAAATAAGCAGTTGAAGAGAGCACACTTGACTGTCTTTGGCGTGTGTGTGTGATGGTTGCTATCGGTGGGGCAGGCTACGGTCACCTTTTTGCGAACACATGGTATCATCCCTATTTGGTACTGTTTCATTAACACATGATACAGTTGAAATAGTTCGGCGGAACTTTAGTGGAGATCTCTTCTCTTCCTCTTCTTCTTCTTATTATTATTACGATTTTGTCAATTTTTATTTCTTGGAATGCACGCATTTCAAAAGGACAATTGTATTTACAAAGGGTACCCAATTTGACTGTACTCCCATGGTGACTCCACGTCAGTCATACAACTTAGAGCACACATAGCAAAGGTTTCCTTATTTTTTGTCAGATATTAAAAGAAAATTAGATGCTTTGATTTTCCTGTGTTACCTGTCTGTCGATTTGAGTATAAATGTTGGGATTTTCTTATTTAGTTGTATCACAATCATGCCAAACGTAATGGCATGTTGCACCGTTTCCCCCTTCTCAATGTACGTGTACTATTTTTATTGATAATGCATGTTTATTGTTCATTTTAAGTGCCTTTTCCAATATGTATGCATATTGTACATCTGCAGCACCTTTTATCTAATTATTTGGCTCTTACACATACAGATCGGTTGGTGGATGGTGGAAGTCCTCATATGTTTTTTTTCTGTTAACTACGAAAGACATTAATTCTTGTTTCCTTAATCACAGAGGTGTAGTACTACCATCCTTTTCACTACTTTCTGTTGTCTTGTTTTTCAATAATGATGGTCCGTTTGCTATTTGTATAATGTCACGTTGATCAATAACATGTGTCAATGCATGTATTCGCAGTGAAGGTGAATGTCCCATCCCATAGCTGTACCTGTCGGTTATACCAGGAAATATAAAGTTTAAAGGTATTCTGACATTCTGACAACGTTTTACTTCACAAAAGACGAAGACAATATACGGAATAATATCAATGCAAACATTGGAATATACCAGAACGAGTTCAAGATCACGTCTAGTTTTTTTTTAAGTTGCAGGATCACATGACGTTGGTTTTGATATCTGTCCGATTTAAGGTTGTACTGGATCTCTTCCATCAAAGATGGGAGAGTAATGCATTATTATTTTGAATACACAAGTAAACGTCTAAGTGGGCACACCAGAAACCTATGATTGTGGGTTCGAATCCCGGTTCGCCCCAAGTATGTTCCTAGGTTTGTCAGCACCATACCCGTGCTCGTGGGTTCCACCGATTTGGTAAACGTCTGAGACCTGCATCATTTTGGTCTTTCCTTCTACATTAAGATGACACGCCGCGATATAACTGGAATACTGTTACAAGCGGCGTTAAACTCACTCTCCTGTGTAGGGAGAATTGAAAATAGTTCCCATTCGGTGTCCTATATTTCGAGAGAATATTGTTTACTCGGTGAATTTAGTTCATCAATACCATATCTTAAATAAATGAAAGTAACTATGCATTCATATAAGTATAAGGACAGAGTATACTTGAAACATGACATTCAAACGTTGACATGTGATCTTTCCTCATATGATCAAGGGGCTGTCGGGTAGCCTAGTGGTTAAAGCGTTCGCTCGTCACGCCGAAGACCCGGGTTCGATTCCCGACATGGGTACAATGTGTGAAGCCCATTTCTGGTGTCCCCCGCCGTGATATTGCTGGAATATTGCTAAAAGCGGCGTAAAACCATACTCACTCACTCACTCACTCACTCACTCACTCATATGATCAAGATGAGATAATAATTTAGCTTTGCTTTTTGTAAATTGTATTCCTTTCCATACAATTCTTTACGTATTTTTATATGAATTCAATTTGTCACCATTATTGTACTTTCATTAAAATTAGCAACAACTTGAATCTTCATGTTCTTATTGTCTCACTCGGCAAGTCGTATAAAATTGCTGTTAATGGACACCTATATGTAGGCCTCGCACGTCCTCCGCGCACGATGGGTAGAGGGTCAGTCGTGATTTTGACGCTTCAGTGAAAGGTCGTTAAATCGATCGTGGTTTCAGATGAGTCCAGATTCAAGCTGGTCTTTCTCGATAGGCGTAGGGAATGTCATACGAACTTAGGTGTGGGTTTGTAATGATATGGTGCGGGATTACTATGACCGCCAGAACGCCACTGAAAAATGTCCATGGAAGGGTCACCGGATAGTACTACCGAGAAGACATACTGACGCCAAATGTCGTGCCGTTTGCGCGCCGTGCTGGTTTTCTTTCAAGACGATAACGCTCGTGCTCACCGTACACGTATCATAACTGACTACCTCCAACAGCCAAACATTACCAGAATACAATGGCCATCCACGAGCCATGACCTTTCACCATAGAGCACGTTATGGACATGAAAGGGAGACGTTTATGCCGACGTCAAAGACCACCCGCTACGTTTGCCGAAAAGGGTCAGGTGCAAAAGGAGTTGACAGGACTTTATCAAATTTCTTTTAGGAGACCGATTCGGACCATTACACACCGTATAAATGAATGTTTGACCAATCGTTGAGCAGGACCCATTATTGATCGAGCCATAGTAAACATTCATGTTTTTACTACACCCTTACAATACAAAGCCAACATGTTCTTCATTTCTTTCTTATCCATCCAATGGTATTTCTGTAATCATCTATTTGTTTCAAATATCCCCTACTTTTGTGGAAGAGTATATCGCCAATTATCAGAGGACAAACTTCCTTGTCTATCAAAAAATGTACCAAGAACCATTTACATCATATTCTTTCTGCATATGAATCGGAATTTCTGTTCCTATTTACCGCCACCGTGTTCTAGTGGATAGAGCTTCTACACGGAAAGCAGAATGTCAGTGGATCGATCCCCGGCAGCGTCATAGAAAAAGACGTTAAAAAACACAAGGCAGACACGAGTGTATGGACGTCAATATGTAAAGGGGGGCACGGGTGGCCCAGTCGTCTAAGGCGCCGCTATTCGCTGTGCAGAAACCTATGATTGTGGGTTCGAATCCCGGTTCGCCCCGATTATGTTTCTAGGTTTGTCAGCACCATACCCGTGCTCGTGGGTTTCACCGAAGTGGTAAACGTCTGAGACCTGCATCACTTCGGGCTTTCCTCCCACATTAAGCTGACATGCCGTGATATAACTGGAATACTGTTAAAAGCGGCGTTAAACCCAACTCACTCACTCACTCACTCAATATGTAAACGTTATCATCTTGACCGTGATGTTAAACCCCATTTCACCTCACCTAAGCTTACAGTATACCGATGATCTGATGGTCATAATGTCAAACACATTAGTCCCTTCTACTGATTTACCGACCTCAGCTTGATATACAAGAGTAGAATAGGTCTTCAGCAACCCATGCTTGCCCTAAAAGGCAACTATGCTTGTCGTAAAAGGCGACTAACATGATCGGGTGGTCAAGCTCGCTGACTTGGTTGATGCATGTCATCAACCCCAATTGCGTGGATCGATGCTCACGATATTAATTACTTGGCTCTCTGGTCCAGACTCGATTAAAAACAGACCGCCGTGATATAGCTGGAATATTGCTGAGTGCGGCGTAAAACAACAAACCAACCAAAGATATATAAGAAACTAATGAAACGACCTAATCTGATTCTGATTTTGATCCATGCATACAGAATCAGAGTGACAAAATAACATAAACAAGACTGTGAGATAAATGGATTGTTTCAACTTTCCAATATCAAACTTTCCTTTTATGTCGAGCAATATTCCAGCAGCTCCTACTTTCGTATCCACATGTCACAACCTTTGAGGAACAATAATGCTTCCTTTTTCAAAGAAGATCAAATTACATTTGCTCACAAGTTACAATATCCAGGGCCCCAGTAAAGCGTTAAAAATACAATGGTAAACATGTCAGGATATTGTGACCCGAAAAATACCATATGCACTTCCCTACTTTGTCTTGTTATGAATTTTATTATGATATGCTGGTTTTAAATCTACATCTGTGATAGTCTAGTGTTTTTACTGTCTTTGTCGACAGATTTTTATGTCTATATGTATTAATATATAACTTGATTTAGTCGCTATATGGCTGAAAAATTGCCGCTGTGACTTTAAATATTAACTCACTCACTCACTACTTGAGTGCCACATGATCGCCTGCTTAGTCAGAAGAAAAATCTAATGCCCTGTGTGAGTGAGTGAGTTGGGTTTCACGCCGCTTTTAACAGTATTCCAGTTATATCGCGGCGTGTCAGCTAAATGTGGGAGGAAAGCCCGAAGTGATGCAGGTCTCAGATGTTTACCAGTTCGGTGAAACCCACGAGCACGGGTATGGTGCTGACAAACCTAGAAACATAATCGGGGCGAACCGGGATTCGAACCCACAATCATAGGTTTCCGGCGTGCCCAAGGGACGCAACTCTGCACAGCGAATCGCGGCGCCTTTGGCCACTGGGCCACCCGTACCCCCCTAATGCCCTGTGGTCACCATACATATCGAAATCCTACAAAATATCAATAAAGCACAAAACACCATATTTATAAGCCCTCTCTTTGTAGTCCACTGTACGATCCCGAGTATATTAAGAACATGTGTTAATAAAAAACTAGTTTGTGCGATCGGCGTAACTTGACCTACTTTTGGCACCCGTCACCAACACATGAAAAGGCAAGTCAAGTGTTCACCTGCTAAAACATGGGAACATATGGTACAAGTTAAAAAGTAGGCAATGTTGTTTACAAGGAATGGTCGTAAAGACGATATTCTGTCACAGCCATTGTCACGCCGAAACCCCGAATTAGATCCCCAACATGGATACAACGTGTGAAGTTCATTGCTTGTTTCCCAGGCATGATATTCCTAGTGCTTAACACTGAATCTCTTCATGTCCAAGATGCATTCATTAATAGTATCTTCTGCTTTAACATTGGGCATTACTCATTGTAACGTGATGCATCTACATCTTCAACTTCAAATAACTACTGACACCTAGAAAATATATTATAATAATAAATACATGTAGTTGTTTAAGTTGAGACAATAACGGGTTTATTTTATGATTGATAATAGATTTTAGATAAATCATCACAGATGTGTAACATCAGCTCCTTTAGTTTTACTATTAGTCATAAGTTATTTAACTGTGCCTTACAATATCTTTCTTACGATTGTGAGACATTTTTCTTAGAATTCTATTTGGAATTGTATTCATAATGTTTGTTAAGTGTTTCATGAAAATCATTAGGATTTATAATATAATTTATATAAATTTTATATGGGTATAGGAACATTCTAAACACGGCGTAAAACTCAGGGATCACTTCCCTTACGTTGACCCAATTCAAGCCGGATGTTTGATTCAGAGAAACTTAATACAATATATTGCACACATCCCCTGACAAGGTTTACCGTGTTTTCCACACAAGCTTGTAACTGATATATGACTGTAACATGATGAATGGTGAAGTACGCCCCTTAACTCAAGTGTATCCTCCGGTTACTCTCGCTCTCATATGTAATTTCGATGTTGCACAATTATACTACATCCGTAATGACTAGAATGCTATAACTCATTGAGGAAGAACCAAGTGGTCTTCGTCTAGCAGTCTGGCAGAAAACAAATTCCATGAATGTTAGTTTAATGCTGAACACTATTAAGCTTAATGACGGCGGCCTGAAAAATGGACATGCCAATCCAGTGATAGATAGTATGAGCAAACGTCCGCGACGTCCGAAACGATGGCACACAATCAACATAGTCACCAAGCCTTGTTAGTCGCCGGCCTATTACTTCACATATTACGAATGTAATGATTAAACCAGACCCGTGAAGATTCCGGGGTAGAATAGGTCTTCAGCAACCCATGCTTGTCGTAAAAGGTGACTATGTTGTCGTAAAAGGCGACTAACGGGATCGGGTGGTCAGGCTCGCTGACTTGGTTGATGCATGTCGTCGGTCCCAATTGCGTGGACCGATGCTCATGACATCAATCACTGGATTGTCTGGTCCAGACTCGATTATTTACAGACCGCCGTCATATAGCTGGAATATTGCTGAGTGCGGCGTAAAAAAATAAAAAATAAAAAAAATAAATTGATTAAACCAACATGTGCTGACTAGACAATTTTAATGGAACGATAGATCTGTTATGTAAACCATAAGAATTATAACTCACGAAGTTTTAGATTAAATTAATTGAACTACAGTGGAATTACAGTCGAAGTAAGCAGTAGTGTGTGCGAGTAAAGATGAGAGGATGAAGAATCGCTGACTGATTTAAGTTTGCACATTTGCGAAAAGACCTTTTCTCAAAGGAGTGAGTGAGTATGATTTTACGCCGCTTTTAGCAATATTCCAGCAATATCATGGCGGGGGACACTAGAAATGGGCTTCACACATTGTACCCTTGTCGGGAATCGAACCCGGGTCTTCGGCGTGACGAGCGAACGCTTTAACCACTAGGCTACCCGACCGCCCTTTTCTCAAAGGAAACTCATATATGAAACCAACGCTCGTTATTACACTTACGTAAATATACCGACACTAACAAAGACTATTGAGGCAACTGATACTTGTTAATGGGGACAATAACATAGATTTACCTACTTAGAAATTGTGGACGCTACTTGTTATTTCACTTTCATTGGATTGATGTGTTTTAAATTTCGATGTGAGGGAGTGAGTGAGTGAGTTGGGTTTAACGCCGCTTTTAACAGTATTCCAGTTATATCGCGGCGTGCCAGCTTAATGTGGGAGGAAAGCCCGAAGCGATGCAGGTCTAAGACGTTTACCACTTCGGTGAAACCCACGAGCACGGGTATGGTGCTGACAAACCTAGAAACATAATCGGGGCGAACCGGGATTCGAACCCACAATCATAGGTTTCTGGCGT